TGGCTCCATCCATGATTTAGGTACATCAATTCATTAATTTTAAAATATCTTTGGTACACTTATGTATTACATGTTTCTTATTTGTCCTATTTTTTTTTTAATGTTTTCTCATTTGGGTACATTATAAGGATATAATTGGAGCAAGTTAAACAAAATTAATAAATTCAAATGTATATATTAATAAATTCAAATATTTGATAGGAGACATTAAATATTAAAACAAAAAAAAATATGAATGAATTGGAATTTGAATAAAGGGAGACTTGGATCAAGTTAAACAAAATTAATAAATTCTTATGTATTACATGTTTCTTATTTGTCCCTAGTCGCTGACACTCTTTGTCTAAAACATTAATTGTATTTAAATTCTTATCAAAGTCCCTTGACTTGGTACACCTCATCATATTACTAATAATATGTAATATTTCTATATGTTTGACATTAATTATTTGACATTTTATGATATTTATAATCCCATATTTCGTGTGTATGTATGTGTGTGTATATCAAATTTAAAATCCCTCATTTATTACTATTAGAAACGGCTACAATACAAAAATTTCAATAAAATTGATTGAATAAATGGATAAAAACAATGTAACAATACAAAATAATAAATGGCAAAAGAATGTATCCATAGTGTTAAAACTTGGTACATTTTAAATATAAAATTTCACAAAAAAAATTTGGCACATTTTACATATAACAAAGTGGTAAGTTTATAAAGAAGAATGGATACATTATAAGTAAATTATCGGTACAAATATAAGATTAAAAAAATTATGAGTACAAATGAAGTTTTAAAAAAATATGGGCTCAAAAATAAATTAATATATGGGTCCAATTAAAACTAAAAAGAAAATAAATACAAATTTAAAAAAAAAAAGTTGCAAATTAAAATTGGGCACAAATTAAAAATATAAATATTTGATATAAAGTTTAGCCATGAATATAAATTTACTGAATGTAACATTTTGAACACTAAATGAATATATGTTAGAAATAAAATTTAATTATGCTGATATGTAAACATTTTATTATTGAAATAATGACGTTTATTAAAACTTAAGGACCTTGATAAAAAACAAATTGCGAAAGGAAAAATGTTTTAATAAATGGAATAGAAGGAGGAGGAGGGAAAGAGAGTGAAAGTCAGAAATCAAACAAGAGATTAGTGGATAGAGAAAGTAGAAAGATTATCTAGGATGGGAAAGGGATAAGAATAATGTGGGGAGGACTTAGGTAGGTTTGGAAAGGGATGCATTTGGGGATCTTTGAGGAGTTGGGTTTCTGAGGATGCAGTCGGCTTCGTCTGGGGAAGGGAATGCAGCTCCAAAGCATGAACAAAATGCAGCTCCATTTGATTAGATTTATAACTGAGGCACATCATTTGATCCATGTGACGTCAAGATTTAACATTGCATAAGTGACACACTCCGACCTCAGTAATACAAGTTACGAGATTGTAATTTGCTAGCTGACACTAAATTGACTGTATGGCCGCATCCGAAGATGACGTCCCAAGCCAACTCAATGATGAAGCCATAGCAAGATATTTATGATGTACAAGAAATTGAACCAAAGATGTTCATTTAATATAATCCAAAGCTGCTACAAGAAAATACTTATCATCCTGCATTTTATACGCTTTGCACTTTGCATTCAAAATTCACATCCTGCCATCCACAACAAAATAATTCTATAGAGCTTGCATCGATGCATTCTACTAATGTCATCAATGGGTTTTGGATCATAAACTTACGTATCACAGTTACTAAAATGCAACCTCCAAAATACGAAATGCTCGTTATCGGCAATCAACAACATTATAAAGTTGAAATGGTCAATTGCCAAAACAGATGAATCAGATGAGTTTTGAGAGAGAGAGACTGATGAGTGATAAGAATTGAAACCGAGAGGCAAGAGTTGCCTCTGAGCAGACTGTCGAAGACTAAAGAAAGATGATATTCTAGTATGGTTAAGTTCATACTAAATGTATGGACTTTACCAAACAACCACTTAAAACATAACATCTAATTTGAGGTGCGGTCTCAGTTTCGGTGTGGTTTTCAAAAATCAAAACCGAAACCGAACCGTTTTCTTATACTGCGGTGCATTTTCAAAACCTCAACCGTTTCAAAACCGTAAAATCAAACCGTTTGGTACGGTCCGATTTAGTTCATATTTCAGTTTTGGTTTTTGGTTCCAACGTCCACCCCTACCTTTTATAAGAGAATCTCCGCCCGTGGTGGGATTGTTCTGTGAATTGGGTGAAACTGCCTATGGGTTTTGAAATCAAATCCAGCGGTTTGAAAAACATGGGGCAATTGGCAGAAAAACCCAGCCAATTATTGCAGGGGCTTGCGTCAGGAAATGTAGCAGACAAGGGGGGCCCAACAGAGCCTAACGACTCGAATTTGAGGCAACAACAGCAGTTGGATTCCAACGGTTTTAAAAAATAAAAATCTGGGGCTGCGCCACGTGGCGCGTCAAATTTTTAAAAATTGAAAATTTCAAAAATCTAAAAAATTTAAAAAATTACAAAAAAAATTAGAAAAATTATTAGAAAATTTAAAAAACTTACAAAGTTAACACTTCAAAAATCTTACAAAGTTCAAAATACTTGCAAATTAAACAAAAATCTAAAACAATAATGACATGTAGGAATAAGACGAGAAAACAATTATGTGAATAGTAACGCCCTTGTCTTTGCCCTTCCTTCTTCCAAACAGATAGACTTGCACAAAGGGAATTATTGTTTAGGATGAATAGTAAATTGGCCTTGCCCTCCACATTGATGGAATATGATTAAGCTTAATTTTACACAAATAATCTCTAAGCCACGTTGATAATCATTTCAATCTTACTTCAATTTTCACATTTTCTGTTTGAAATATGAAGAACATATATGGGGCAATGGAGAGAGTAACATAAGTTAGGTGTTTGGTAAAATGTATTTGTAAAAGCGATTTTAGCATAAAGCAATTTGTTCGTGGCTAGAATTTCCGTGGGGGATGCTTCCTGTCCGACGAGCACACAGCTCCCCGAGAGGTTGGCGCCGGTTGATGGTTTCTGTCGGGCTCCTGCTTTACTGGCGGGCTTGTCGGGCAAGTCTGAAAGAGAAGGACATAGTTAACTTTGAAATGTGCTTTTGTGAGGCCTTAGGTGTAGGCCTTGAGGCTTCACAATCAAGATTAACCTTTAAGTGCTCAGGCGTGCCACTGCCATCTTCAGCATGACAGATGTAGAACGGATGTTTGAGTTTAGTTATATGTTCGAGAGACCATGTTTAGTTATTGACAGGTGCCTTTGTGGGGCCTTAGGTATAGGCCTTGAGGCTTCACAATTAATAACTAAACTTAGTGCTCGAACACATACGGTTCCTTTTCTTGGTTATATGGGTCTTATAACCATCATACTTCTGATTACCTGAACGTAAAGAACAGAATGAATCCAAATAGGTGCCTTTGTAGGGCCTTAGGTGTAGGCTTTGAGGCTTCCCATCAGAACCCCTTCTATACTCAATGTTCTTGCCCGAGAAATAGGATGAATCCAAATAGGTGCCTTTGTAGGGCCTTAGGTGTAGGCCTTGAGGCTTCCCATCAGAATTCATCTCGTCCCCGAACGTTATATGGTAATCATAATATAACAGAAATAAAACTAAGTGATAGGTCGATTACTTGCGCCCCAAGTAACTTCGGACTCCTTGTTATCAAAAGCTTGTAGTGGATGGGTTAAGTCCACATCAGGTTCTTTTTTATGCCTTGAGGTCAAGGACTTTTAGGGTGATCAAATCTTATATGCCCGAAGGCTTAGAACTTAGATCTAACTTGAACAGTGGAAACATATTCAAATCGGATTCAAGTACTGAGAGAACCTTTTAATAGCCATATTGCTAGAAATAACTTGGGTACAATTTGTAGTATATAACATATTGCTAGGCTAATGAATAAAAAGACAAAAACAAAGAGGGTCGGGCAAGGTTTAACCTTGTCGGGCAAGGCTGATCGTCTTGCAAGAGGTTTGAAAGCTTAGAAAAATGACTGGGAGGTGAGTTTTTAGGAAAGAGATCGATACTACAGCAAGAGTTGAGCAGGGTAGTAGAGCTATTAAAAAAAAAAGGTTATCCCGAAAGGGATGAAGGCTTGGGCTGACTACAGCTTCGTTTTGAAGGCAAATCTGGCTTTGAGCAGAGTTTGTGCTTGTATTTGCTTGTTTGAGTGTCGTTGATGCTGACTTCTCTTTCTCCTTTTATAGACATCTTAGCTTGGCCTCCTGTAGCAGCAACCTTGCCCGAATGTAGTTTGAAGGGTAGTGACTCATCAGCTATTTACTTGTGTTGCCAGTATAAAGTACTTTATGGGCTGATTAGCTGGCTGCTCTATACTACTTGGTCCTTGGGTAGGTGAGCAAGTGGTCTGCATGCTCTGCATCTAATTAGAAACGGGCTTCTCCTGTCTTCTGGATTGTGGCTGAGCTTCAAATGGGCATTTGAATCCCTCTCCCTTTTTTAGGCTGTCACTTGGGCCAACCTTCACCAAGCCCAAAGTTTAAGTTTTGACCTAAACAGTGCCCACTTCAATTGATATTTTAGCCTGGAATCTCAGGCGCCAATATTAACTGAATAGCTGCACGCGTCTGCGCCTTTGCTCTTGGAACTTGTACCTTCTAATTGAGATTAACACCACCCGGAGTCTCTTGATATCCCCACAACCCTTGAACCACCTTCTGTCATCCCTATAAATTTTGATTCTCCCCACAAATCATCCTTGATCTTATCTTTATCCGCTTTAAGTGCTTCTGCTTTCTTTCAAAACTGTAAAATGAGTTCTTTAGAGTTTAAGTGGGGTTTCTTAAAACTCTTTTTTCGTGAGAAAAAGAGTTTTCATCAAATCACTACTATCTCCAACACCTTTGGTCGACCATCCCGCTATCTCCAACACCCTTGGTCAGGCAGTTTCCTCATGAAGGCTTGCCTTCCTGCTTGCCGTCGTGATAAATCAGGCTTCACCATCACACGTGGTGGTAAGTCTGCTTGAGGGTCCCCTACCAGGCGCGTCTTGGCCGCACAACTCGATCACCTGATCGGGCCTCATCCAAGAAGACCTCGGAAAACCAGCTGAAAACAACAATGCATCAAGATAGAATGGAATGTAATAAGTCAGATGTGACTCTTTTGTAAATTTCACCAACTTGTCGAAATGAAAATAGTCATTATTTGCAACTTTTGTCTTTATGTCTTCTTGATCGATTGGTGAACAAATACTGCACTTTAGCATCCCGATACCTGCTTTACTTTGCATTCTCTTCAATATAGCAATCCCTAACATCCCATAATGTAGGACAATACTTTTTCAAGAATTTAACATTAATGAGATGTTTCTGCCAATTTCCTTCAAGTTTCGCCAAGTAGTATCCCCCTCTGTTTAATACTTGACTAATTATGAAAGGACCTTCCCACGTCGGGCTCCACTTTCCAAAACCTCTAACCTGGGCTCTTAGAGGAAGGACTGTTTTCCACACCAAATCTCCTTCTTTAAAAGATTTTGCTCTCACCCTTTTGTTATACGCTCGGGCAACAACTTTCTTCCCTTCCTGAATCTGGTTCAGGGCTTCAATTCGGGCTACATCTAAGTCTTCAATCCCTTGACACATGACTTTGATGTATTCTTCACTGTGTAATCCGAACTGATTTTGAATTCTGACAGAACTTACATTAATCTCCATGGGAAGTACTGCATCTTGCCCGAAGGTTAAAGCATAAGGAGTTGTGCATGTTCCTGCCCACTTGGAAGTTCTGTATGCCCACAGAGTGTTTCCCAGCTTTTCATGCCACTTCTCCGGACTGTCCATCACCATTCTTTTAATAATGTTTACCAAAATCTTGTTGCTGGATTCTGCCTGACCATTTGACTGCGGGTAGTAAGGACTGGACTGGATCATCTTTATTTTGTATTTGCCTGCAAATTCTTCAACTTCTTTTGAGATAAAAGATGGCCCTCGATCAGTCATAATAGTTTCGGGCACCCCGAATCTATGCAGAATCTTGGTCTCGATGAAAATTTTCACCGTAGCTGAGGTTATGGACTTTACGCCGAAGCCTCTACCCATTTGGTGAAGTAATTCGTTGCTACAATGGTGAAGGTGTGCCCCTTACTAGAAGCTGGATATATCTGCCCGATGAAGTCCATCGCCCATCCTCGGAAGAGCCATGGCTTAACTACTGGATTTAAAGGAACGGAGGGTATATGTTGGAGAGGACCGTGCCTTTGACATTCCTCACATCATCGGGCATAAGACTTGCAATCCTTTTCCATGTCGGGCCAAAAATAACCATATCGCCTAAGCAACCACCTCATCTTTGTCCCCGCCTGATGTGCCCCACATACTCATTCATGTACTTCGGCCATTACTCGCATTGATTCTTCTTAGCCTAAGCATTTCAATAATAACCCGTCTGGAGTTTTCCTTAGTAGGCCTTTCGCCCATAAGACATACTTAGTTGCTTGCTGTTGGTTCTTCTTACTGGTGGGTGAAGAAGGATCCTTTAGATAATGGATGATGAGCGTCCTTCAATCTTCTATCTCTGCTTCCTGAACCATTATATCCAGGCTGAATCCCCTTTCAAAAATAGAAGGAAGATTTCTCCTTTGAATCTCGACATCTAACCCATCTCTTCTCTCCTGTACTGGCATGCCTGAGGCTAATTGCGCCATCTCATTGGCTGCTAAGTTGGCTCCTCGGGGAACATGACTCACCGATATCTCAGAATCCCAATAACTCAGCAATTGCGTAGCCGCCAAATAATACTCGGCCATGGTGATATGTCTGCACTTGAACTCCCCATTTAGCTGGTTTATTACCAATTCTGAATCACCAAACACCTCAACTTCCATTGCCCCCAGATCCATTAAGATTTCCAAAGCAATTATTAAGGCCTCGTACTCTGCCCGATTGTTGGTATTCCTTTGATAATCCAAGAGAAATGAGTAATAATGATAAATCCCCTGAGGATTGATAATGACAACCCCAGCTCCTGAAGCCTTCTGAGTATAAGAACCATCAAAATACAGCTTCCAATGAGTAACCCACAAACCAGCCACTCTTCTTATTTCCCGCTGGATCCACTCCTCTTTGCCCGATATCCCTTTGCCTGGCGGGATCCAAACATTAGTAACTTCCAGGGTTCCTGGTATATTGATTATCTCATCTCGAGATTCTTGATGCTCCGTCAAAAAGTCAGCAATTGCTTGGCCTTTTACTGCCCTTTGGGGAACATACTGGAAGCTGAACTCTGATAGTGCTAGAATCAATTTCCTAATCCTCCCTGTTAACATTGGCTTTGACAGCATGTACTTTATCACATCTGTCTTGGCGATGATGCGCACATGACAAGGTAACATATAATGCCTCAGCTTATTGGCAGTAAAATACAGAGCTAAGCTTAATTTCTCTACTGGGGAATACCTTGTTTCTACCTCGGTCAGAATTCTACTAAGGTAGTACACTGTCTGCTCTTTCCCTCCTTCATTGTTCTGAGCTAGCAAACTCCCAATTGATTTATCTAAAGCGGAGATATATAGCTTTAAGGGTTTTCCCCTCTGAGGTGGTACCAATACTGGAGGAGAAGTCAAATAAGCTTTGATACCATCAAAAGCCTCTTGATGCGGTGGTCCCCACTCGAAATTCTCTTTATCCTTCAATCTTAATAAAGGGGTCAGCGGCTGGATCTTGCCCGCCAGGTTGGCAATGAATCTTATTAAGAAATTAATTTTTCCTAACAGCCTCTGAAGTTGCACTTTGTTGGTGGGTGAAGGTGACTCCATTATTGCCCGAGCTTTATTCTTGTCCACTTCTACCCCTCGTTGATGAACCAGGAATCCCAAGAAATTGCCCGCTCTTACTCTAAACGCACACTTCTTTAGATTCATCTTCAATTTGTGGACCCTCATTCTTGTTAGTGCCTGCCTGAGGTCTATCAGATGTTGTTCTTCCGTCTTAGATTTCACCATGATGTCGTCAATATACACCTCCATATTCTGGCTAATCAGATCATGAAAGATGGCATTCATCGCCCTTTGGTAGGTTGCACTAGCATTCTTGAGCCCGAAGGGCATAACCAGATATTCATATGCCCCCACATGCCCAGGGCACCTAAAAGCTGTTTTATGTATATCTTCCGGGACCATCTTTATCTAATTATACCCGGCATTTCCATCCATAACAGATAAGACTTTGTGTTTTGCTACTGCATCTACGGACAGATCTGCCATAGGCATAGGATATTCATCTTTAGGTGTAGCGTCATTAATATTTCTGTAATCAACACAACATCATACTGCTTTTGTTACAGCTTTTAAAACGGGTACAATGTTGGCTAACCACTCCACATATTTGGCTGGCCTAATAAATCCGGCTTTTACGAGCCTTTCAATCTCTTCTATCTCCTTCGACATCCTTCGTGGTGCTTGCTTAACCAGCTTATATCCTTCATTGATGGGCATTCTATGTTCCACCAAAGTTGCATCTAAACCCGGCATCTCAGTGTAATGCCAAGCAAAACAATCTCTGAATTCTTGCAAGAGACAAATAATTTGTGCCCGATCTTCTCGCTCCAATAAACCACTGATTTGTATTGGTCTTGGGTCCTCCTTTGTTCCTAGCTCAATAACTTCCAAAGGATCTTGGACCTCCGGTGGTGGCTTATCAGGTTCTGCACACAAAAATTCGACTAGCTTTGGGCTCTCGGGCAAGTCGTCTGGCTCATCTAGGTCATATATACACTCGGCCATCTAAATGGCCCTTTCCAATTCTTCTTGACAAGATTCCTCGATGCTTTGATCCTGGCTGGTTGAAGCTCCTACCTGCCATTCCTGCTCTTCTTGTCTTCTTTCTTTCCCATACACCAACAGTCGTTTAATCAGGGATCTGACTGCCATTACCTGATTCCTCCTTTTTTGTTCTATCATTAATAGTGTAGGGGTGTTGGGATGATAAAAGACCTATCCCACTCTTCTCTAGTAAAGAGCATCCCTTGTTCTAGAAGCTTTTGGGCCGTCACCTTGGTAGAGCAGCCGTTCTCATCTGCTCCCAAACACTTCAAGATTCCTACGTTGGGATTGTAGAAACTTGCTTCCGCTATCTTGGCTGTGGGAAGAAATGGCCGTGACTCAGCCTCTACTATCTCCCAAAAGCATGGTTCTTCTGCGCTTGCCTCATGATACATAGCCACTTGTTGATGTAGGGTGGATGGTACATCAAGACTTTGGTGGATCCAATCTCTTCCAAGTAAGGCTCCGTAGGTGGAGGTGCAGTCCACCACAAAGAACGCCAGCATAATCTGTTTAGACCCCAGATCTACTTCCAAAGGCAATATCCCAAGAGTCTTGGTGATAGCGCCCAAGAAACTAGAAACTGTGAGGTTTGTAGGAATAAGATCTTATGTGCCTCTCCCCAACTTTTTCATCTGCTTAGCTGGTAATACATTAACAGCTGCCCCTCCATCAATCAAAATCCTTCTGAATGGCACCCCCTCCAGATGAGCTGTTACATATATGGGTTTCAAATGATTGGCAAGTGAAACAGTCGGGCGGTTGAACACCATTTTGTCTGTGTAGATCCTTAAAGGACCCTCTTTGGATGCTTCAGATGGTGCAGCTTTTCCCGACTCTCATTATTCTGCTTCCTCCATATTAACATGAGCTATCATTAGCTTAGTTGTTACATAATCTCCTTCCATAGCGGCGGGCTGATCAGGTTGGGCAACAAACATAGCAGATATCACATATGCCATGTTTATATGAAAGTTGCTAGGCTCTGGCAATTCCTCTTTTTTGCTCTCAATCTGGTCCATGAACTCATCCAACCATGCCATAGCATCTGGTGGAAGCAGTGGTTCTGGTGCCCCCACGAGTTGATTCACATCTGGGCATGGCGTTTGTTTTGGAACTTTCCCGAAGGGATCCTCTACTGATGAGGAAGGTTGTTTTTTCTCAGGGGAGACAGTTCCAAAGCAAATAGGTTGCTCTGCCTTCCAGCCGGGAGTTGGCACCATAACCATATCCTCTTGAGCTCTCCTCAAGATTCTATATTTCCCAGGGTGCAGGCTTGGTGGCACATGATTTCCTTCGCCCTCAATCTTGCTGTTAGCCCTTTCCACCTCCTTTTTACTTCTCCAGCGGTGCTGACTGCTCACTCCAGACGACGTTTTTTCTAACTTTTGATTTTTAGAAGCTTCCGACGTCGCTGGGGTTTTCAAGGAATTCATGTAGGCTTTATGTTGCCTCTGAACCCTTCTGACCATGGAGGCCCCTATTTGCTTAACGGGCTGTCCATTCTTTCCGACCACATACCATTTTCGTCCGAGGTGGGCAAGATTATCCTTTGTGACAGGGTTTGTTATCCTGTCATTCCTCCTGACTTCTCTTCCCATATGACCGTACTGAGAGTGCCCTACACTTCTTTCTTTTGGCTTCTTAGCATCTTTATCCTCTGCTTCCTCAGAAACCTCATGGTTACGAAAGATTTCTGATAAAGCCCTTGGTTGGGAATCATCTCCTAGCCGCTGAAAGACACTTCGGGAGGTATCCCTTCCTGTAGTTCGCCGAGCCTTCTCTTGTGCCTCTTTTCTCTTTTGCACTTCATTCCTCCTGATTAGTTCATGATCTATGAAGGCTCCCGAGGGCGGTATTTCGAGCTCACACTCGCATTGGCACTTACTACACAGCACTCTTCCTTTGAATATGGCGGCTTTTGGATATTCGAGCAAGTTAACCACCCCTTTTATGGGCTTGTCAATCAGTCTTCTTTCTTCATCTCTTGTGACCTTCTCTTTTCCCTTCTCTGCCCAGGCCATACTGATCATATTGATAAGGGCTTCTGAGAAGGGATCCGTATGTTTATCCGTCATCGCAGCTTTTTCTAGTTGATTGGTTTTAAGCCCC